TGGACTTTGTAACTGTCTTGTATCGTTGAGATTAAGAGAATAGAAAGGCGATAATTCCATATTTGTTTGTTGTTGACCACTGAAGTTCTGGTGAGGTGCTAAATCTGACCTTCCCTCACCTGCCTCACCTAAGCCTGATCCGATACTCCTTAACCTCACCTCCCTTTTTGACCGAGAAATAATTTGTTAAAAAATATAGAGGAACTTCAGGGTGAAATATTTATTCTTCTATGGTATACAGAATAAAATAAATTTTTCCTAGAGTCTCTTACACGCCGAGATTAAGGGAAAATATAGCGAACGAATCTGTGAGAGTGGTGGAGCACGTCCCCGGAGGCCAGCCAGGCGCGGCCAGTATATACCTACGTCAACATTAAACAAACAGTCGTCCCCCTAAAAAGATTTTTAAATAAACATCACGAGCTTCTGGACGACCCAGCCAGGTGCTTCCGGGGGTTCCCCTCTCAGGTTACCTGTCTGTGGTATATACTGTATATATATATATATATATATATATATATATATATATATATATATATATATATATATATATATATATATATATATATATATATATATATATATATATATATTGTATAACTGCCAACTTATAATCTTTTTACAATATGTAAATGTATGTTAACATGCTAAGCCCTCTTAGACTAGCCAATTTTTTTTTTCCAATGTGTGTGTGTGTGTGTGTGTAATGATAATAATAATAACGGTTTATTGAAAGAACATGGCAGCCAAAGGGTTGAAAATATACAGTTAACAGAGATGATGAAAGTTTCATAAGTTGAATCATTTGATTGACAAATAATAAAAAAAAGTGCGTAATTGATACAAATATGATATATAATAACGCAGGGGGGGTACAATTTAACAAGGAATTTCAACATAGTTACAGTACAAAAGCAAGATTGGCAGGTAGTAATCACACTACGAGTTGTTGATAATTTTACAATGGTTGGGACTGGGCTGTTCTTATAGCGATCAGTACGTACTCGTATGGACTGGATGCGGTTGTGGTGTCGAACAGCAATTCTCGGGCGAGGGATCTCAGGTCAGAGCAGGAGACGGTGCCTAGGATGATGCTGAAGCTTTTTCCCAGACTTTCAGATGAGGTCATGGTGATGATCAAAGAGAGCCGAGAGGGTCAGTGTGTGTGTGTGTGTGTGTGTTACATCAACAATGAGACAGACACACACACACACAGTTGCCTAGTTCACACCTACACTGGGCCAATGTTGTAATAATAATACCAGGTGGGAGGTGGTAGATGTCTGTCTGTCTGTCTGTCTGTCTGTGTTTCTTTATCTTCTCTCTCCGTTTATCTGTCTCTCTGTCTCTCATTTCCTTTATTTGTATGTCTGTTTTGTGTACTGTATATGGAAGAGAGAAAGAGAGGGAGAGAAAATAAGAAGAGAAAGAGGAAAGAAAAAGAGAGCAAGAAATAGAGAGAGAATATAAAGAATAAAAGAGTGAGAGAAAAGGGAATAGAAAAAATAAAAATTAGAGAGACTAAAATTAAATGAAGCGAAAAAGTAAGAAAATGAGATAAAGAGAGAGAAATTTAGAGGAAAAGACAGACAGACATAGAGAATAATTATTAAAGAAAGAAAGAAAGAAATTCACTATGCCATACCTGTTACATCACTACACAACACACAGGTACACGAACCAGGGATGACCCAGCGGTAAGGTTAGGTCAGGTCAAGTTAGGTCAGGCTAGGGTAGGTTAAGTTAGGTTAGGTTATGTTAGGTTAGGTTAGGTTAAGTACGCCAGGAAGCTCTTGTGTGTACGTCTCCTCTAACTGTCTGATTAAATGACTAACTGGCCAACTGACTGACTATTAGATGATTGACTGAATAACTGAATAAGTGAGTAACTGATTAACTGTTTAAATGACTGATTAACCCAATGACTGACTGACTGGTTAACTGAGGGAATGACGGAGAGATTGACTGAATAATTGGCTAACTGACTAACTGAATGGCTAACTACGTGACTAAACGACTGTCTAAATGGCTGTCAAAAAGACTCATTTACCTACTGGTTAACTGACTCACCAGCTTTGTTTATGATAGCTTACCACAAACACAAAGTCATATCTTCCTCTGGTGTGGTCAAGGCATGTATAGATATTTCTCCCGTCTAAAGTCTGTCTCGGAAATTCGTATACAATTTCTTCATTTCCCAAAGCAGAGATAAATTTCCAGTGAATATCCTATGGTAAAGAAATATTGTTATTTTATTTTTTTATTTCTACTTGGAGGTAATTTCTATCTCTCTCTCTCTCTCTCTCTCTCTCTCTCTCTCTCCATCACCCCAGATATAATAACTCCGTGTCTCTCTCCCTCCCCAGAGATTGAGAGGCTCCAGAATGGCGTCCGTACCTCCGGGGGTAAAGTGGAAGAGAGGAAGATGGCGGACGTGACTAAGGACAAGGCCATTAAGCTGACCGTCCGTGTTCTGGTGCCCGTTCGTGATCACCCAAAGGTAAGGAGAGGCGTTGAATTACCCCCTCCCCCCCCCCCCACTTCCCCCCCACGTTAAGGTAGGTTAGGTTAGTTTAGGTTAAATTAAGTTAGGTTACCTGAAGTTAGGTTGAGTTTGGTTAGGTTACATTAAGTTACGTTAAGTTGGATAAAGTTAGGTTTGGTTAAATTAAGTTAGGTTACTTTAAGTTAGGTTAGATTAAATTAAGGTAGGTTACGTTAAGTTAGATTAAGGTAAGTTAGGGTAGGTTACGTGAAGTTAGGTTAGGTTACGTGAAGTTAGGTTAGGTTACGTGAAGTTAGGTTAAGTTAAATCAGGTTACATTAAGTTAGGGTAGTTTAAAATAAGTCAGGTTACATTAAGTTAAATTAAGTTAAGTTTGGTTACGTAAAGTTTCTGCTGATTGGGATACATTAAGTGTGGCAAATTGGAGTGTGGTTGTGATAGCGTCTTACCGTCACCACAAATTATTGTCTATAACTCTTTTAGTGGCAGGTAAACACTTCTTAGCTTTGTGTGTGTTTGTTGTTTATACACACACTGTACAGTCCCCTTCACTAGTGCGTTTACAGGAGCTCGTCATATAAACATTCCACAAATCATTACCTTTGAGATATTTGTTTTAATATTGTTTTAATTTTATTCCATACTGTGTTTACTATAACGAGTTACCTTCTGTCAAATGTAAGCAAACACAGCGCTGCCACACTGTACAAAACCTGACGAGCCACCCCTGTAAACGCACTAGTGAAGGGGACTGTACACTGATATGATCTGAGAGGATGTTATGTGATGCTCTCCAGGGAAGAATTATAAGTACTTGGAGACTTAGTTAACTGTCTGAGTACCCTGTTCATGTCTACTACGACCTCTTGGAAGGGAGTTGGAAGCATGTCTCTTTGTTTACTTTGATCTCAGTTAATTCTGGCTTAATAACGTGACCCTGGCTGGCTGTCTATATGCTTGTATCTGTGGTGTAGTTTTTTTTTATATAATACTAAGGTGCGATTACATGGTTAAGGTTAAATTACTGGAGATTAGGTTAAATTCGGTTTATTTGATCTAAGTTAAAGTTCCGTGGTTATGTTAAATTTAAGTAAGGTTAGGTTAGGTTAGGTTAGGTGTAGATGTGATTCATGATGGGTATTATTGCAGGGATAATTGTGTTTATTCATTACTCTGAGCAAAACTTTATGGAGAGGAAATCTATACATACATACATACATACATACATACATACATACATACATACATTTTGTTTTATATGCAGATGTGTTCGAAACGGCCAAATTGTACACATAAATTTGATAAGAGACAACAACAGATACTTTGTGTGTGTATTTGTGTTGTGTGTGTGTGTGTGTGTGTGTCTGTGTGTGTGTACATGCATATATTCATAGTTTATCATCACAACTACATATTCATCAGCACAGTATTTGTAGAGTAAATGTTTAAAGCATACAAAACGCCAGTGAATGTTCCAGATTATTCACGATTATGATTCTTTTGATCCATCCGTAAGTCGGATACACCACTCATGTTATTATCTAAGTCCTCCTCTCATCTACTCCCGTTTTCTTTATTGACGTCCCCCAATTCCCATTTTCTTTATAGTCCTCCCCTCATCTACTGCCGTTTTCTTTAGTCTCCCCCTCATCTAATGCCGTTTTCTTTAGTCTCCCCCTCATCTAATGCCGTTTTCTTTAGTCTCCCCCTCATCTACTGCCGTTTTCTTTAGTCTCCCCCTCATCTAATGCCGTTTTCTTTAGTCTCCCCCTCATCTAATGCCGTTTTCTTTAGTCTCCCCCTCATCTACTGCCGTTTTCTTTAGTCTCCCCCTCATCTACTGCCGTTTTCTTTATAGTCCTCCCCTCATCTAATGTCGTTTTCTTCATAGTCCTCCCCTCATCTAATGTCGTTTTCTTTAGTCTCCCCCTCATCTACTGCCGTTTTCTTTATAGTCCTCCCCTCATCTAATGTCGTTTTCTTCATAGTCCTCCCCTCATCTACTGCCGTTTTCTTTAGTCTCCCCCTCATCTAATGTCGTTTTCTTCATAGTCCTCCCTCACATATCATCTTTTTATAAGTTTACCCCATCACCTGTCGTCGTTTTCTTGGATGAGGTAAACGCCATAAAGAGAGAGAGAGAGAGAGAGATACTCGTAACCCAGCAACACGCATGATGAGCCCTACACTATGACAAGATGATTCACATAAGATAACTACACAACATTAACATACATAAATATACACAAATACACGTTAATACACACATACACACTCTTATATACAGGAGAGGTGGCATTTCATTTTATCTTTAAAGGGGGTAAAGTTAGCATCTACCCGTGTCAAAGAGGCCTAATATAAAAGGCTCTGCAGAGGCTGACCGCGACCCACCACCTACAGGTCGGTCCACAGTTTTGAAGATCAAGAGCTGAAATTTAGTAGGAAGGTAAGGGTGACCTAACCTACCGGATGGCCCTGTCCTTACACCCCTACACACACACATACATACATATCTACATACATACATACATACATACATACATAGGTCTGGGCAACCGTATAAACCCGTGATATGTAAATGGTGATTGGGAGAGAGAGGTGCCAGTGCTGATGCCAGGTGACCGATCACTGCCACTTTGATCTAACGGCATCTGATGTGAGGGTCACTCCGGTATGTCTGGGGTGACTAGGGGGTGTTCTGGGGTGAATAGGGGGTGTTCTGGGGGGTGACTAGGGGGTGTTCTGAGGTGACTAGGGGTGTTCTGGGGTTGACCAGGGAGTGTTCTGGGGGTGACTAGGGGCTGTTCTGGGGGGTGACTAGGGGGTGGGGGCCGTGACAAGAGGCCCTACTGTGCGTGTGGTGTTGTGGATGTGTTATTCATATCTTGGGGGGCAAGACCAGGCGGGTCATAATCAAATTTGGAAGCGGAAGGAATCCAATGGAGGAGGAGGTTCTGTGGGGAGGTTGTGGGAAGGTTCTGGGGAGAGGTGTAGGGGAGGTTCTGGGGAGAGGTGTAGGGGAGGTTCTGGGGAGAGGTGTAGGGGAGGTTCTGGGGAGAGGTGTAGGGGAGGTTCTGTGGGGAGGCTTGTGGGAAGGTTCTGGGGAGAGGTGTAGGGGAGGTTCTGAAGGAGGTTTTGGAGAGGTTGCGGGGAGGGTTGTGGAAGAGGGTCTGAGGGAAGCACTGGGTAGGAGGTGCTGTGTCACTGAGGTGTTGTGTCACTGTATTAGGCGCCTCTAGAGTCCACCTACAGCGACCTAATCAGATTTCAACTCGCTCACTACCTGATGGGTGTCTCTAAGCTGATCTGACTGGTTCAGACTTAAGCTGTAGTGGTTGAGAAATTTAAACTGAACTGACTGATCTAAATTTAAGTTGATCCGACTGGTCATAACCTAAGCTGATCCGACTGGTCCCAAGCTGATGTGACTGGCCTTGAACTAAGCTGGCATCCACTAATATGACCATTCCTCTCCGAACTAATTGACTGGGACCGGCCTAAACTGACTTATCTCTGACTGACCTCGCTAGAAGGGTCGCCTCTAGTACCCAATAAATATTATGTATCACTTATGTCATCATCCGCAGTGGTGAGGAAATACCTATCTCTTTATGTTACTGTCTGTTTGTGTTTATGTTTGTCCACACTCTCCCGGAAGAACTATGTGTGATAAGGTGTTCATATTTCTCATGAATACCCCTCTAACATATACCAAAGACAAGTTCTAATATCATAGCTACAGAGACCAACCATCCGTCTGTCTCAATGTCTTTCCATAACCTCTTAAAGGCTTTCTCCTGCGGCGTAGACTAATTTTCTTCCGTGGGTATGTTGTTTATACTCTACTTTACTATACTTTCGCTGTATATAAATATCTCTTATATATATTTTTTTTTTCGGTGATATATATGACTTAATTCTCAAGCTCCTCCTCCCTCCCAGTTGACGCATTTAATATTCAATTTATAGTAATGGAAGAGAGTTGAATGGATTTATTCATCTTTTAATATAAATCTGGCCAGGTGGAATTAATTTATATTTATTTATTTTTATTTAGGAATTGGATATTGTCTAGTGATGGAATTGTTTTTATACCAAAACAGAAGTCTCTCTCTCTCTCTCTCTCTCTCTCTCTCTCTCTCTCCTCTCTCTCTCTCTCTCTCTCCACCATAAACACGACCTTTCTCAAACACATAAAAATCCGGGTCTGGGATTTTTGACCTCCGGAACAAACAATGAGATTGAGGATTTACTGCCGGAATTACAACGTGTTGCCATTACATCCTCCAACCAATTGTGTGGGGGATTAAGGAGGTAGAATCCTGATAAATCACCACCGACAGTGTATTTTGTGGATTAATAACATGTTGGCTCGTAATTTCTTCATGGCGGTGATGTAATCCCTCTGGTACGGTGGCCTAGAGGATAGAGAGCTTACTTCCCTTCCTAAAGGTCACTGGTTCGCACCCACGGTCCATAGTCACCAGAGTTAGGCTAGATTAAGACCTGTTAGTATTAGGGCCTTTTTAGATTAGGTAAGCACACACACACACACACACACACACACACACACACACACACACACACACACACACGTTGAGTTGTAGAAAAAGGTTGCTGAGGGATTAGAAAACACAGTCATGTTAGATTAAAGTCGTTGTTACATGATGGCGTAAGTGAGCGTTCACAGCCTGGAGGATCAAGGCATGAAGACCCAGGTGATTGTCGTACCAGAGGAGGAGCTGTCTGAGGGTGGAGGACGTCTTGACATTTTGTGCAAGACATCTCTCTCTCTCTCTCTCTCTTCATACAGCGTTCGTAAACAAAATATATGACTCTCTTAATCCTCTCACATCCATTCAGAAATCCTCAAAGAATCCATCAGATAAAAATGTAAACACAGAATCATCAGAGAAATAATCCGATCGTAGCGCTTTTGCCGTGAACCCACAGCAAGCTTACTGGTACGATTCAATTCCCCTGACTTTAGTATT